GAAGAAAGGTTGGATAGACTGGGTTTGTTTTCACTGCAACATAGGAGGTTGAGGGGTGACCTGATACAAGTTTATAAGATTGTGAATAGCATGGATAGAGAGGAAAGTAGGAGTCTCCTTTCCCAGGGTGGAGGGGTCAATTAGTATGGGACACAGATTCCAGTTGCAGGGGCACAAGTTTAAAAGATGTGAGAGGAAGGTTTTTCACACAAAGGGCAGAGTGTGCCTGGAATACGCTGCCAGAGGTGGTGGTGGAAGCAGGCACGATAACGCATTCAAGAAGCACCTGGACGAATACAAAAAAGGAAGAGAATAGAGGGATACAGATCCTGTAAATTAAGACAGTTTTAATATGGAAGGGCAAAATGTGTTGTCGCAGGCTTGGAGGGCCAAAGGACTTGTTCCTGTGCTATATTGTTCTATTCTTTGTTCTATAGGTTTCTATGAAGAAATATTTGTAAGGTTGGATCTGTAATCATTGGAAGCTAGAAGAATGAGGCATAATATTAATTGAAATATAAGATCATGAGGGGATTGACAGGATGCTTCTTCTTGTAGGAGGTATTAGCATTAGGGACACAGTTTAAAAATAAGGGATCACCTCTTTAGAGGGAGATAAGGACATTTTTCCACTGAGCTGTGTGTGTCTTTGGAACTCTCTCCTCCAGCCAGCAGTGGAGGCAAGGTCATTGAACAGTTTTAAAGGCAGAGATTTATCTATTCTTGATTAACAGAGGAGTCAAGGATATCTGGGTGGGCAGGTGGTGTTCTCACTGCTTGTATATAAATGTGCATTTTTGACATCCAATTATTCCATAACTGCACAGTATTAAATAGAAATCAGATTTTGAGCATTTTCATTTTTTTTAGTTACCATTTTGCAAAAATATCAAAATAAAGTTGTCATTGGAACGGTTGTAATCTTACTGAATGGCACAGCAGTTGTAAAGGGCCAAATGGTGTCCTTCTGCTTACAATCTGCATATTCATACATGTACAATATCAGATCTGGGGTCACAAGTGGCAGCTAACAATTATATTGCCTAAGTGAATCTAATGACCATCACAACTAAATAAGGGCCAGCATTCAATTGTAACTCTAATGCTAAGTCTAAACCATCAAACCATTGAGGTGATCAACAGTCACCGAAAGATTGATTCAGGCAGTGCATAACAACATTTCAATGTAAGAATAGAACTGGGCACTTTGCAACCAATGGGCACTTCTTTGTTTCTCAAAGCATTCCACCATCTATAAATCTCTAATCACAGATGCTGTGGAAACTGAAGTTCAAACTGGCAATCACACCACTCATGTTCCAATCTCTTCATCACTGTTATGTTGTGCCACAATAAGCACTATCTGTATGCATGATGCATAGTAGGAAGTTAGTAATGCTATATCAGCAACACCTTCACTTCTGTGATCAGTACAAATTAGAAGAAAAAGTGGGATTACGGGAATGCTACACAAGTACTTCTCCAAAAAAAAACTATGCTGACTTGGATATGAAAGAACAATGACATCAATGTACCTTCAGAATTCTAGAAACTTCCTCTCAGTTTAATGCACTTTCTGAAGATGATTGAATCTGCACCAAAACCTACCAATAGCAAAAGGTATATAATTACAAGCATCATTGTTTCTCATTCACACATACATACAGTCCCTCATCTTTTTCGTTATAGAAACTATAATAAAACTTGCATCTATATGGTGCCTTTCATAGCCTGAGGATGCTACACAGTCTCAAGTGCCTTACAGCCAATGAAACACACGGCATATGTAAGAGAAACAGTATCATAATTATGCACAGCATAAATTCCACAAACAGAAATGTGATAATGACCAGATATTATTTTTAGACCACCAGGTCAACTAGGTCCGACCCATCTCCCGCACTTCCGCCCTCACCCATTCTTTTCCCTCCCGCAACAGCGATAGGGTTCCCCTTACCCTTACCTACCATCCCACCAGCATCCACATGCAGAAGATCATCAGATACCATTTCAGCCACCTCCTGCAAGATGCCACCACCAGATACATATTCGCCTCCCCTCCCCTCTCTTGTCCGCCTTCCACAGGGACCGTTCCCTCCGGGACACCCTGGTCCACACTTCCTTCACCCCCAACACCCCCCCACAGCCCTCCAGCACCTTCCCCTGTAACCGGCGAAGGTACGACACCTGCCCATTTATCTCTTCCCTCTCCAGCTTCCAAGGGCCCAAACACACCTTCCAGGTGAAGCAACACTTCAACTGCACTTCCAAGAATCTGGTCTACTGCATTCGCTGCTCACAAATGTGGTCTCCTCTACATTAGGGAAATGAAGCTTAGACTTGGCGATCGCTTCACAGAACATCTACGTTCTGCTCACAAAAAAGACCCTGGGCTACCTGTTGCCTGCCACTTTAATGCACCAACCTGCTCCCTGGCCAACATCTCTGTCTCTGGCTTGCTGCAGTGCTCCAGCGAAGCCCAACGCAAGCTGGAGGAACACCACCTCATTTCCACTTGGGGACCCTACAGCCCTCCGGACTCAATATCGAGTTCAATAATTTTAGGGCCTAAACTCTCCCAATTCCCAGCCCCCTACCCCACACACCAGGCCTGGTTACCACATAGCCTGCCACTACACACCCACTGTTGTTAGTCACTAACAGTCCCCATTAACAACTATTTGCCCTCCCAGCCTGATCGTTATCAACTCCTTTGTCTATCCAACTTTCTTCCTCTCTCTTTAGGCTCTATCCTATAGTTTACTCCCTACCCCACCCACCTCCCTATTTTCTGCATATAAACTGACGTTTTCCCAGCCACCATCAGTTCTGAGGAAGGGTCACCGGACCTGAACTGTAATTCTGTTTTTTCCTTCACTGATGTGGCCAGACCTGCTTGGCTTTTTCAGCAATTTTGTTTTTGCTCTTGATTTACAGCATCCGCAGTTCTTTCGGGTTTTATTATTTTTAGATGTTGATTGTGGGATAAATATTGACTGGGAGAACACCACTGACCTTTTTCAGTGCCAATGGATTTTTTTAGATCTACTCGAGAATGTAAACACGGCATTGATTTTACAGCGCATTCAGAAGATGGCACCTTCAACAGTGCAGCTATCTTTGAGTACTGCACGAGAGCATCTGCCTTTATTTTGTGCTCAAGGTTCTGGAATAGGGCTTGGATTCAGAAGGTGGAGGGTTTGAGTGTGATTACTGAAACTCTGGTGCGGCCGCACTTGGAGTATTGCGTACAGTTCTGGTCACCGCATTATAGGAAGGATGTGGAAGCATTGGAAAGGGTACAGAGGAGATTTACCAGGATGTTGCCTGGTATGGAGGGAAGGTCTTATGAGGAAAGGCTGAGGGTCTTGAGGCTGTTTTCGTGAGAGAGAAGAAGGTTAAGAGGTGACTTGATAGAGACATACAAGATGATCAGAGGATTAGAGGATTAGATAGGGTGGACAGTGGGAGCCTTTTTCCTCGGATGGTGATGGCTAGCACGAGGGGACATAGCTTTAAATTGAGGGGTGATAGATATAGGACAGATGTCAGAGGTAGGTTCTTTACTC